GTGAATGGACAATTGTATACAGGTTCAGGGTATGCTAGTGTAACGCCCTGTAGGCAGGAATGCTATTAAAAAAGGTATTTGTCAGATTGTTATAAGTCTTATGCTGATTAATAGTCTATGCTCATCTGGTTTCCCCTAATCAGTCTGTCTTCGTTTGCATCTGTCTGGTGCTGGGTGTACCCTGGTCACAGAGCAGAGCAACCAATGAGAGATTGCTATGGGTATGCATGTCTCTCTAGCCAATCCCTGGGAGGTTAATGGCCAGTGGTGCAAGCTGGGAGAGGAGATAAATACTTGGGGTGGACCATGTGAGCTCTCTCTTCCTCCCCCGGGCCCTGCCTGGGGGGAGGCTGCTATAGACTGTCTGCAAGGGCTAGGCCTGAAGCCTGGGGACTAGCCATGTGCTTACACAGAGGCCTGGGTCTGGAGCCCAGTGGTTACTACTGATGACAAGGATAAAGATAACTGGTGACTTCTAACTCAAGTACTGCTGTACCAGGTCCTCTTCACACAGACTGCCATTTCTGGCTTAAAGGTCCTAGTCTGTGATGGCTGCAGTTACTCTAACCTAACACTTAAGGAGTCTACACCAGCCTGGATGATCCTGACCCTCAACCTCTCTCCCTAAGGTTCATCAATAAAATTCCTCAGCATCATATCTACAGCCTGAACCTTGCTTCTATCAGTCACCATAGAGGGTGCCAAGTGATAATGGGTAATGTGAATCTGGATACCCCTAGACATGGCGATGATGGATGGTTATTATTCTCTGCTGCCCCTTTGGGGGTGCACTACACTAGTTATGGTTAAGGATAGTTCTTTGAGAATGTTCTGGGTGCACTGGTGTAATGGCATGGATCCTGCAACCAGTCACATTTTTCTGACTTACTACAGAAATGCCAAATAACTTTGTTGTTATGGGTTCAAACTTAAAATGTTTTTATATAGGCAGCAGTTATATTTTTTTTGTAGTACCTCTTTTTTTGGCTGATGTTTATAGCAGTAAGTGTTTGCAAATTACCATAAACCAAGAAAAGAAATGTTCAATGCATCTCAGGCTCACTCTGGGAATGCTATAAAACTGAGTGTTTGCTTGGAAATTTCCACATTTAAGGTTGTCCCTCTTTCCCATGTTAGATTATTAAGAATTATGCCCTCTGGCTATAGTTTTTTTTTCTGGCACAGACTGAAGATCTGTCATCAGCAGCCTAGTTTACATGCATTTGACAAACTAGCTATACCTGACTAGACTTGCACATGTTGCACTTATCTCCTGCGTTAAACTTCCACATTCCACACCCAGTTACCTGGCTTGTTAAACTGCGAGTACAATGCAATATTAGGTAAGCCACATCTGTTGTATTCACGGTAGTAAATCCATCACAATAGAAAAATGTTACAGAACAAACGGAAGTGATTCTCCACATGGACAGTAAGATTTCAGCTCTTCTTTTTTTTTGCCAGCCCATGTTCTAAAATGAAAGACTGTAACTGGTTGATAGTGACAACCTCCATTTACTTTTTCAATTTCAAAATCCAGCATTTAGTGCTGACACATTGATAAATCAGGACCTTAGTCTTTTCTACTAACTTCCGTTCTCCCAAAAGTTATATTCCACCCTCACCTTTTTAAATCTTCTGGGCATTTAGGGCAAGATAAAGAGGGAAGCACGATTGAAAATTGAAAAGAACATTCCTCAGAATGCTTCTATACCAGGATTTCCTTAGTAAGTTTTTCCAAACATTTCATAAATCCAGGAATTCCTCTTGAAATTTTAATTTGTTTGGTGTGCCAGGTATACCAATGGGCACAACAAAAACTAATCAAAAAAAGGAAGAAAATGAGTTATCAGAGGAGGACAAAGAAACAGGAAAATTGTATTTCATACTTACCGTAATTTTCCTTTCCTGTCCAGCTCCACGGCAGCACACGAATGGATTAACCCATTCCTTGTGCTGCCATGGAGCTGACAGGAAAAAGGGTTCCAGAGGGTTGCTGAAGATGCCTGCATATGTGTGTGCACTTCAGGAAAGGATAATAGGAAAATAAGATATGTTGTACTTAGCCCTACCTTATCCACCATCCCTTATGTGGATACACAAAAAAAGTCTCTTGGGTCAAGGCTGCCAAATTTAGAAAAACACATCTGGCATAAATGATGGCAACGAGAAAATAAACCTTGTGAGTAGGGTCAAAGTGATATCCCTGTGAGGTTCAAATGGCAGCTTAGTCAAAAGGACTAAGTTAGGGTCCCATTAAGTCACTGGAGTGATTACAGGGAAAATTAGAGACAGACATCTCCCCCACTTTCAGAAATGGAGTGTCCACTCATTGTAAGGAAGACTTGTTCACAGGCTTGGAGGCTTTGGAAGTCCAAAGCTTGTGGTGTAACAGGGTCCCAGGCTTGGACTTGGGCTTAGAGGACTGAGAGAAGCAAAATTAACTCTTCCTAGCATCAGGTAGAAGACTTCCATCTGAGAGTTGGCCTTTTTTGCTGAGGCAAAAGGTGCTATCCACAATCAATCGACCACCCATGACATCCTTGATAAAGTTGCCAAAGCGGCTCACCATCAAAAAGCACATCAAACATATACATATACACACACACACACACATTATACACATGCACACACAACATTATATATATATATATATATAGCACTACATTTTGGCAGACCAGTGTTTGAGCCAAAGGGTCTTTGGCATATGTACGGTTAGGAGACCCATGCTAGATATCAAGCATATGATTATGATATTTACACAGTAGTGTATAGCTACAGGCAGCTGCTGGAGAACACAGGGATCAGTAAGGATATATCCTAGATCCCAAGACATATCCAGGGTCTGGCAGATGAACATAATGGCAATAATCGGTTGCAGAATAAGGCCTAGGGAAAATAAGGCATTAGAAAGGGCTTTCAGTCTTTTAACGACAGGCTTTTTAAAAGGAGAACTATGAGGTGAGTGCTTTTCACTCACCTCATAGTTCTAGCCGACCTGTGACAATGAGACTGTCACAGGTCGGCTCAGTAGATTGGGAGGTGAGCGAACACATACCGGCGTTCGCTCACCTCTCGATTCTGTCACGGCTCTCTGCCGTGACAGGGGAGGGGCTGTATTCCCCCCTCCCCGCTCTAATCCGCCAGCGCTGACTGGCGGAACGGACGGGGGAGGGGGCGGGTACAGCTGGCTCTGCCTCTAGATAGGCGGGATCCGCTTCAGCTGCGGCGTCTCAGTATACCGCGAGCTGTAGGGTGACGGGAGGACGCTAGTTTGTGTCCTCCCGTTACCCTAAGGAGAACTATGGGGAAAAGCCTTAACCCAATAGTTCTCCTTTAAATACTGGAATGTCTTTGTGCTGTGCAGGAGACTGAGCCCACCCAAATGCACCAATCTCTGTCCCCAGAATAAAGACTACCGGATGGAGAGACTCAGAAGGCAAAATGGTGCCTCTAAAAGGAACCATGCAGTTGAGAGACACGGTCAATATTGTCCAGCATAGGAATGCTGGCACAGGAATCTGCCAATGGTGAGAAGGAACAACCCCATATACCCCAAGAGACTACCCTAAGAGACCAAAGGGACTAAAGCTATATGGACCACCTACACGAATTGCCTCAAGTTCCAGCTCCCAGATACCAAGGGGGAGAATAAGAAAAAAAATGAAGGTCAACAAGAGGTGATGTAAAAACTGCATTTTGTATTGAAGTTGTAGTCTATCATGGGAGTGAGCTTGGAGCAGTGGCTACTTTACAACACACACAGGGAACATGGGGAACAATAGTACCTTCCAGAAGGAAGGACAGTGTCAGCACAAATTCAGAGATGATTTGAGGCTCTACAGCCAAGTCATACACAAATAAGCTGAATTTGTTTAATAGCTGAGGTACTTGAATGCATTTTTAAAATTTAACTCCTAAGTTTAATGTCACTTTAAGACAAAGGTTCAGCTAGGAACAAATTTGGTTTGGCTTGAGTTATATTTATCTGTCAAGAGTCTAATCTCATTTTAGATGTTTCCTTGCAGGTTTAACAGCCTCTGCAGTTCCTGTTCTTCAGCAATCAGCCCTTGCCTCGACACATACTATGGTGATTGTATTAAGCTGTCTGTGCTACCTGTGTGGATATAAATGTTGGGGTACATTCCTGACACTTATTAGAACTGAAGCGGCGGCCTGTATATGCTGCAAAACCTCTTCTGCATTACAGAACCAGTCCGATTGTGACTAAAAAGCTAATTTTTGTCAATTAAAAGTACCTGAATGCCTTTTTAGGATTTAACTCCTGAGTTTAGCATCATTTTAACACCGCTTATTTCAAGTACAGACAGAAACATGACTGTGCTATGGGATCACCAGTGTCTTACATTGTAGCTAATGTATACATAGAGGAGGCAGAGAGGAAAGCCTTGAACTTTCATGGGAAAAACATCAAGTCAGGTATGTGGATGATATATGGCTTGGGTAAGCTGTAAAACTTTATTACAAAAAGACATCAAGTTGAATGCGACCAAATACTACAAGCTGTACAATGACCTGGATTAAAAGGAAAAGAAACAAAAAACTTTCACAGACAAATTTGCAGGAAAACATCACAGCTTAACACTACTTGAAAATACTTTTGTATATTTCACTGGCATTTCTCTTTAAAATGTCCAGTTTGCTGCTACAAGCTACACAGGTAACCAAAGTAATCTAATCTAAAGAAATAAATAAAAGCAACTTTGCATTTGCAAGTTTTTATTTAATGCAGAAAATAAAGATAAACAACAAAAATATAATCAAAATGAGATACATATAGTTATAGCTTCCTTTAAATGTACTTTACCTAACCTTACACAACACTGACACACACACAAAATTATAGTAATCTTCTATGAAGACACACAAACAAAATCATAGTAATCTTCTATGAAGACATCCACTCCTCTTCTACCGTGCATTTTATACAGAGTGTACATAAGTTATTCGTCAACTCGTATCCCCTTATAGTCTGGACATCACATAAGAACCTGGGTGCAGGTTTTAAGGGTGCCTTCCTTGGCATGGTGTGCTTGCAGGACAGCAACAGCTTCTTCAACCTGTTATGAAATGCATTTTAGCGAAGAAATGATTAACATGTAAAAAAAAGCTCTAAATCAGGTGTATATTATTTTAAATATATTGATCACTGTGATGCAACAAAGTGCAGAAGAAAGTTCAGTAAATCACAACCACTTACAAATGAGCCATTATTAAGGGCAAGCTCACCACACTACAGGATTGCTCGATTAAGATACAACATTCATTAAATGGTAAAAACAGGTAAGCAAACCCACACTTGCCAATGCATCTATTGCTTCTGTCCATCTTGACCTTGCGACAAACCTAATCATCTTTTGAGTGGGGAGTTACACCAGGAGATCAACATTTGGCATTCCCCATTACTAGCAGATTTGTTGCAAGACTACAGGGTGAAGGGATCAAGACTTTTTCAATTTAAATAGCCCACTTGCCAGTTTTCTACCCCTGGTATGTATACTGAGGACAGAGTCGACATACAACAACTCTTTAACTCAGGATGTGAGATACTACCAGTACTGTCGCTGCATTCCTGTTCAAGTCATGATGGTATGTATATATATATATATATATATATGCTACCACCGTGACATTGATGGAAGGCAAGGACTCCTCTGGGCTCCAAGAACCGAGATTAAATTGGAGGCCCAGTACTTCGTCCCCAGCCATGCAGGCAGGTGTCCATAGTTACTATTTTCCAGCACAGAGGGTGAATTGACTGCTGGCTTGCAGCAGAGGAGAGTAGAATCCCCAAACCAAAGAGGACTTAGTCAGGCAACTCACTTTTATATCCCTGTTCAGAGACAGGGAACATTTGTTCCAGTGTGACAGGACCTTGTGTCTTCAATGTTGTGATTTGGTGTTGCACTTGAGGGATAAGGCCATTTGAAGTCTGCTACCCTCAGATCCAAAACCCACGTGCAGTGGAAAATGGATAACCACCTCAAGTTGTAGTTTTCCAGACTGAATGAACACCTTGGTCTGGTTAGTATTTAAGGCCATCTCCAGAATTTCTTTCGAAATTTTAAATTCACCCCAACACCTCCCGAGTCTGAATGGTGATAGATGGGTTAGACTCCAGTTCAGGTAAGACTTTGCATGCAATAGAAGATCACCCAGGTACCTCACTACTGGTATCCCTCTTGACCTAAAGGCAGCTAGCACTGGTGCAAACATCTTCGTGAACACCTGATGAGCTGTGGCTAGGCTGAAAGGGCAAGGCTGCAAACTGAAACTGTTCTTCCCTTACCGAAGCAGAAGAGCCACTGGTGCTCCTGGTAAAAGTCTACATGGAGGAAGAAAACCTTCCCATCTATGGATGCCAGAAAGTCCTTCTGTAAGGACACTACTGAACATATTCACTTGTGGATTTTGCCAAAAATGTTTAGTGCTTTGAGATCCAAGACAGGTTGTACTCCGCCCTTTTTAAGCACCATGAAGAGGTTTGAATAGAAACCTTGAAACCTTTCCACAGCTGGAACTGGAATCACAACTACCTTGGCCAAGAATCTCTCAATGGCCAGACGTAAATCAACTAACCATTGAGCAGAAAGGTACACGTTGGAGGCAAACAACCTCTGGAGGGGTTGTGTAAAAATATTTTGTAACCCAAAGCTACCAATTCAGGAAACCATTTGTGTGAAAATAGGTTCACCAATAGTCCACGAATGTTAGAAATCTTCTCCCCACCGAAGCTGAACAGGTGGAGGCAAAACTTCATGCAGGGAAGGGCTTGGGCTGCCAGAGACACCTACCCCCTGCTGAGGTAAAAGGCTTAGAGGATTTAAATTTTTTTTTTCATATTTCCTGCAACAACAAAAAAGCAACTTATGGGCTGAAAACGTAGGCCCAGATTTGTGACGAAATTCCTTGGCCTTACTGAGCTGGAGCAAGAAGGTTCTCTTTCCTCCATGAGGTCCCTGATGACCTCATCCAGCACACCAAATTAAGTTGTTTCCATATGAATGGCAGATCCATAAAAGCACTTTTAGACATTTGGACCAACACTTCTGCCACTTGCGCATGTTAATAGCCAAAGCTGGCGACCTAGAGACGGAGGATCCTGAGTCCAGCACCACATCACAAATGCACTTTAAGCCCTGTACCAGCTGCTCCAGTCAATCCACAAGTGGAACTTTTTTTCTCAGCTAGACCTTAGTGGAATACTTATACATCACAAAAGGTAATATAGTGTTGGATGTCAGTGGTGGAATTTAAATTCTAAAGTGTATCCCTAAACAACTTAATTGGCTATAACACCAATGCCTTCTCCTGAACTTGATGTGGACACTTTGTCGTAGCTCCCTAAGGAGGCCAACCCTATATCCGACTCCTTATTAGATGCCAGGACTGCACACACTGCCTTGAAGAGTCCTCTTTAGGGGGAGGGCAGTCATTTCTTGCCAGTGGCTGAGAAAATGCACTACCAATGAAACAAAACCTTCCAAAATGGAGGCCAGGGAATCCAGGGATGAGGATAGCCTTGAAATATCCAAGGCTGGCAGTGGAGAACCAGAGGATGGGAGGGAAGACAATAGGGATGCAACCATACCAATATCAGTATTGTTGCCGATACTGGGCGTTTCCACAAGTACTCGTACTCTAGCAAATGCTCAGATACTAAGTGATGATACTGGAGTTTACATTTTTAAACTGAAGCTGATGTTGTAAACAGGCACCACTCTTCACAGGAAGGATGCCGAGGTCCCCAGCGTCGGCCAAAAATCTCCTCCTGCCCGCCGCCACCCGTGAGAACGACTGGGAAGCCTGGTAAGAGCCCACACAGCCCACCATAGACCCCGCATGCCACCTGAGAGACCGCACAGCCCCACCATAGCTCACCATAGATCCCGATAGCCACCTGAGAGTACACATAGCCCACCAAAGACCCCGCATAGCCCCCTTCAGAGCCCACCATGGACCACACACAGTCCACCATAGAACCCTCAAGTGCCGTTTTATTTTTAACCGTATAAATCTACTACTACACTATCAGCAGATTAAACAAATAAAGAGCAGTGTGGCAGCATAAAAGGTTATACATGCACAAGTAGATCGTTCAAGTATTTAGTAAAAGTAGCAACAGCAGTCAGGAATATTCACCAATGAACAGTTAATGCTATTCATCAAACATAACTATACTAACATCAGAATGTCCAGTTCATCCTAAAGAACACTTGTCACTAGACTTTCAAGTGGCAAAGTGGAACTATGGGCAATATCAGCAATTGGTGCATTGTGGGATGTTCCATGGGCATGACTTGGGCACCAATATTTGCAAAAGCCAGAAAAGCCAGAGAGCAGGTTGTAGGGACTCTTGGGGCATCGTGCAGCAGAGAATAAAGGCATTGCTATCCAATGGCACCTAGCACTGCCTATTCTAGAAGGGGGAAGGTTACTTTTGTAGTTTTCTCCTTTGGGTTAGCAGCCTCCTGCCACATTATTGTGTGCAAAGTACAGGTTTCCTTTTAAGTGTAAACATATAAAGAAATGCTTTTAATACCTTTGAATGAAGTGATTCTGGAGATTCCAGCATGTGTAGTAGCTCAGAATTGTCTATTTCCAATAACATGCCTGTGATCTTTCCGGCAAGTCCTGCATGCATGCCGTGTATCAAGGGATAAAGTCGTTCACCTGTGGACAAGCGATTGATATAGTTAATAATGCACAGCACGTTTCAAAAGTTATGCCTCGCTTGGGTCGTTCCCCTGTGGACACGCGATTGATATAATTATTAATACACAGCACGTTTCAAAAGTTATGCCTCCCTTGGCAACAAACAAAACACACACATCCCTGTCATGCTGCTAATCCTAGGGAATGGGAAAAATTACTTTCAGAGAACTATATGTATCCATTACCAGTTGGGCTGGAAATAATTACAGCAAAGTACATTAAGCAAGCTGCGCTATGCATATTACTAGAGATAATTGTGGTCTGTAATCTTTAGGCATCTGATTTGACTAAGCAAAAAATTAACAACATGGTCTTCCAACACAGGTCTGAGGTGTCTGGCATTTCAGATTTAATTGCAGAGGATCCCAACATACTGTACTTCACATGCGGTCGCATGCAGTCAGTGTTGGGACCATTGTGAGTAGAGAATATTGCTTTATTCCCCTAATATCGAGAGCCACAAGTCGAAAAGGACATGCTACCAAGGTCCCTGCACCACTGCAGAGCAAGCTCTAAACAACCCCTAAATCTCATGTATGAAGAAAAATATCAGTGAGAGCCTTGCAAACTAATGGTATCACTAACATAAATGTTTGATCACAGTGTGCCTGAAATTATTTCCCCTAGCAACCATACTCAGTTTCACAATGTTTATAGTAGGGATGTTCAGATACCAAGTACCGTACTCGGTACAAGTACATGTACCGATACGTTTCCAGCTCCAAGACTAGAGAAAAATTCTAAAGTTTAGAGGTAACTGTCATTTGTAAGGAGCACACGGAGCTCCTAGGATTTGTGCTTCCCTGTTTTAATGTACGAGATGTATATGTGTTATATATATATATATATAAGTAGTAGCCTCTTTTTTGCAGTTTTTTTCAACCGTTTGCTTGTGTTTGATTTTATATATATATAGATATATATATACACATATACACTAGGGATGCCCCGATACAATTTTTTCAAGTACAAGTACTGATACTTTCCAAGTACTTACAGATACAAGTACTGTTACATGTTTGTTTATTGTATGTGAGAGTTTTTCTAAAACAATACAGACTAAAACAATACAGACTGATTATTTCAGGATCAGTGGTGGAGTGCCAGAGCCAGGTCCCAGCTGCAACCCTGATAGTTCTTATGAAAATGCCAAGTATCTGCACTGGTGTCTGAACATCCCTAGTTTATGGTGTCTCATAACTAGTGTGAGCCCGTAGATACCCAGAACTGTTCTATTTTGAAACCAACTGCAATATGTTTAAGCCAATTCAACTTCCAGAAACAATACAAGTGAAATTATGACTGTAAATCTATACATACCAAGCATTTGCTTTTGTTCTTGTGGTGGGGCAGCTGCGAGCACGGATGCTGTTAGTGGCTCTTCTAGCATTTGGCCAGGTTCTACCTATGGAAAAATAATAAACATTTTATAGGATTCCATAAAGTATGAAAATGAAAGATTGACCATGATTAGTCATTAGACATCACAACAAACACTGGATTTTGCTAAGGGGCATTTTAACTTCAAGAGGTTAAAAAACATTTCCACTTGTCCTCACTATTGGCATGTGGTGCCTTTGAAATTGCAGAATGCATTCACTAAGCCAGCCCTAGCACATACCATTATCTCAAATCAGAGGTGTCCACTAATTTCAAAATATTGTGCTGTTTGTATTGTTGAAAAGCCTAATAAATGTGTAAATTCAGTTTTAACTGGAATATCGCCCTGAATTCCACCTGTCAATCTTTAACCGCTTGAAGACCAGGTGTTTAGATCCCCTACCTGGCCAGGCCATTTTTCAGTGTTCAGCGCTGCAGTACTTTGACTGACATTTATTCCGTCACGCAACGCTGTACTGAAATTAATTTTATACAATTTTTTGGGGACAGATAGAGCTTTATTTTGGTGGTATTTAATCACCACTGCGGGTTTTATTTTTTACTATATTCAGGAGAAATTACTGAAAATTGAGAAAAAAATTTTGTTTTTGTTTTTTTTTACATTATGCTATAAAACAACTAATATTACCCACTTTTTTGGTAAAATATAAAAGACGGGGTCACGTCGGGTAAATAGACACCATAACCTTTACACTCAAAAAATCAATCAATCAAAATGACTTCAGTTTCCCAAAGCAATGCACACTGGCAGTGCCTTGTCATCAGCAGAGCATTGCTGGGAAATCTCATCTGTAATCTCAGGAGATCTCAGAGAAAGGTATTTTCCTCCCCTGAGAGGACATGCATGGTCACATGTCCTAGTCACATGTCTAGTCACGTGCCAGAAATCTGGGAAGTAAAAGGAGAGCTAGTAATCTGCCTTAGTAAACATGGCCACTGTCAGACTACTGGGGAAGAAAAGAGAAATAAGGTATGCAAAGAATACAAAGTCGGCAATTATCTAGATGTATGCGTTTGTAGATTGTCATTACTAAACTTTTCTAAAAGGTGTGTTTGTTGTTATTTTAAAGATATGTGTAAAGGTCCACTTTAATGATGCCACTTTTCAATTACCCTTCTTTTTAATAAAATAAGGGATTTTTATGTTTATTGTGCAAAGTGGGTTTCTGACTTTTATGAATGCACTCTACTATATGAATATTGCATATACAGGGATGTGAAAAAGTATGCGCACCCCATGGACATTGTTGAATTTTTAAACATATTTAAACAGGGAAACAGATCAAACAGTACAGATAAAAGGTGATATAGTTAAAATAAAAAACACACAGAAAAATTTGCCTTTTCAAATCATAGATTCAAAAAGAATTGAGGGGAAGATTACATTGAAGGTTTTACATTGTAAAATGCAAGTACACCCTTGGTCTCAGAAGCTGGTACTGCCCCCTTTAGCATACATTACTTCTAGCAGGCAATTTGCATGCCTGTTCAAAAGTCTCGGACATCAATGAAATTTTTGACCATTACCCCATTTTATATTCCATGTGGTGCAATTACTTTTTGACATGACTGTATATTCTGTCATTGTAAACACCCAGCAAAAAAGAAAAAAACATCTTGCCAGTTCTATAGGTGTTTCTTAATAAAAGGCGATTTATATAAACAGGGAAAATCCTATCTATTTGGGATCCTTCTGCTATATTACTGAATGTGTGCTGTCTTCTTCAGGAGTCGCTGTATTTCACTAGACTTTAGTTTAGCACTTCAAAAATAGCAGGAGAGAGATTAAACTGGTTTTCTATAAGTAAATATAGGGGCCTTATGCATCGGTTTCTGACATGTCCACAATAGCTTAAAGGATAAGTTCACCTTTTGCAAAAATTAAAGAAATGGATAATTAATAATTATATATATATATATATATATATAAGA